TGGGGATTTGGATGTCTTTAGGAGAGGTGATGCATTATTTAGTCTACATTGTTACAAAATTATAGCACTAATTTTTTTTTTTGAGTTGGAATCTTACTCTGTCTCCTAGGCTGGAATGTGGTAGCATGCTGACGGCCACTGCAGCCTCTACCTAATGAGCTCAGGCGATCCTTCCACCTCACCCTTTCAAGTAGCTGAAAGTACAGGCATGCGCCCCGATACCTGGCTAATTTTTTGATTTATTGTAGAGATGAGGTCTCACCAAGTTGCCCAGGCTGTTCTTGAGCCTGTTGGGCTCAGGCAATCCTCTCACCTCAGCCTCCCAAAGTGCCAGGATTATAGGCGTGAGCCACTGCGCCCGGCTGACACTAATTTTTTAATCCCACCTCATTAGGCAATTTGGGTAGTAAATTTCCATCTTGCTTTATATGTCAGTTCAGGCAAAATGTATCAAAATGTACAATTTTTTGACAATTTTGATTTTAAACTCAAATATTTTGTTTGGAAGACTTTAAAAATAAAGGTTAGAGAAATTGTTTATAAAATTTTTAAGGTACACAGATATGACAGTCTTTATTATTACACTTTTAAACTTTGAAAGCACATAGTGGTAGAAATATTTCCAAACCATTCTTTTTCAAAATGCTCTTTCCACTGCATGAATTTCTTTCAAAAAGCAGTCACTTTGTTACTTTTACATATCATTAAAATGCTAGTTTTACTTTGAAGGAACAGATGGTTTATTATAATTATTTTAAAAATCATTGTTAGCAAACTATGAATAGCTGCTGGTAATCATAGAATATCTAGCAGTTTTGAAACACTTGCCTTTTTTTAAAAGATAAATTTATAATTCAACTTTAAGTCATAATTCCTTTCAGCTTTTTGAAAGAATTGTGCAATCTCTACATTTTAAAACTATCTCTAAAAAAAATTCACAAAAATGTGTATATATACGATGGAATACTATTCAACCATTTAAAAAAGAATGAAATGATGTCTTTTGCAGCCACTTGGATGGAATTGGAGAACACCATCCTAAGTGAACTAACACAGGAACAGAAACCCAAACATTGCATGTTCTCACTTATAAGTGGGTGCTAAACCAAAGATCCACAAAGACAGAGGGTGGTAAATGGACACTGGAGACTCAGAAGGGGGAAGAGGGAAAAGAGGTTGGAGGGACCAAAAAAAAATCACCATTCAGGTACAGTGTGCATGGGTGGAGGTATGCATAAAACCCAGACCAAAAACTCTTTGTACCCCCTAAAGCTATTGAAATAACATGAAAATAAACTCATCACAATTCATCTGATAGCATGCAAATTGGCAATATGTTGCAGAATGCTGAAAATGAAGAAATGAGTAGGGACATGCCTGTCAGTCCCTTTGTCATGTGGGATTCCCAGTTTTCCTCAGGATTCCTCCATGCATGCCACCGTCTGAAAAGTGGATCACCTGGTGTGAAGCCAAGGGAGCCACTGTTGTCATATTGCATATTAGTAAAGTGTAATTTTTACATGAACATTTTAGAAAAACATAAAAGCTTCTAAGGAACCATCTACATTGACTGGGTTGTATATCCTGGGGTGTGTTTACCTCACTTTGGAGACCACTCTGCTACACTGTTGCTGCCCTTTTCCCATTTCTGTATATTCTAGTCATCGTGCAATGGCCTGTCCACATCTAGCCCTCTCTTGCATTTCTTCTGACAAACTGTCTTTTTGACAGATAATTGTATGTCTAACTTTCATACCTTGTATGCTTAGCTTCTCCCTGCTATGGAGAGCTCTTAAAAGGCAGAAGTAGTTTGCATTTCATCCTATGTCTCATGGCAATACTCTTAGCACATACCTAGTTACCACCAAATATTTGAATGAGTAGGCTGGGGATGGTGGCTCATGCTGTAATCCCAGCATTTTGGGAGACCAAGGCAGGAAGATTGCTTGAGCCCAGGAGTTTGAAACCAGCGTGGGCAACACAGAGACCTCATCTCTACAAAAACAAAAAAACAAACCAGGCATGGTGGTACATGCTTGCCGTCCTAGCTACTCGAGAGACTGAGGGTGGAGAATCACTGCTTGAGCCCAGGATTTTGAGGGTACCATGAGCTGTGATTGTGCCACTGCACAGCATCCTGGGTGACAGTAAAATTCTGATTCTATATATATATATATATATTTTTGAATGAATAAATCAAATGAACAGCAAGTGCTCAGTAAGTGGTTTTTGTGTGTGATGTATAAGGCTTATGTCTTTATCTGCCCTCCAAACTTACTGGTTTTGAGACGTGATGATTCTAGCTTTACAGGGCCTGACTGAAGCCCAGAGAGGTTCAGTAATCTGCCCAACATGACGCACTTTGGAGTCTGGTTTTTTTTTTAAGTGTTTAAATAAGTGGTAAGATTGTACAAAAGTAAAACAATATAAAAAGGCAATAAATGAAGTCTTGTTCTTTTCTCTATTTCTACTTATTTTCTCCCTTGTCCTGTTTCCTGCAGGTAACCTCTTTAGTTAGTTTCTTGTGACTTTTTTCAGTGGTTCTTTATGCACAAAGTATAAATGTATGCTCATTTCTGCCGTTTCCTATATACAAAGTTTCATACTGCATAAAAAATGCAATTTTTTTTTTTTTAGTTGGAGTTTCACTCTGCCGCCCAGGCTGGCAGTGACACACTCACGGCCACCCCGGCATTGACCCTTGTAATTCTTCCACATCAACCTTCCAAGTAGCCAGAACCACAGGCATGTGCAACCATGCCTGGCTAATTTTTGATTCATTGTAGAGACAAGGTCTCGCCAAGTTTCCTGGGCTGATCTCGAACCCGTGGGCTCAGGCAATCTACTTGCCTCGGCCTTCCACAGTGCTGGGATTACAGGCTGAGTCACCGAGCCCGGCCTAAAAAAATGCATATTTTTTAAACATACATACTTTTTTCTTATTTACTTGTAAAAAAGACTTTTCAGGAGCAGTTTTAGGTTCACAGTAAAATCGAGTAGAAAGTACAGAATTTGTGTACACCCTCTGCCCACTTCCCCCTGCTTCTCCCATTATCAACATCTCACACCAGGGAGTACATTTATACTTAGTGAACCTGTATTGACAAGTTATCACTCAAATCTCCATAATTTACATTAGAGTTCACTCTGTGGGTTTGGACAAACATATAATGTCATGTATCCACTATCATAGCATTTTACAGAGTAGTTTCACTGCCCTAAAAATCCTCTGTGTTCTGCCTGTTTAACTTTCCCTCCCACTGATCTTTGGCAGCAACTAAACTTACTGCTGTCTCCATAGTTTTGCCTTTTCCAGAATACCATATAGTTGAAATCATACAGTATGTAGCCTTTTCAGATTGGCTTCTTTCACCTAGTAATATGCATTTAAGATTCCTCCATGTCTTTTCGTGACTTGATAGCACATTTCTTTGTAGCACTGAGTATTACTCCATTGTCTGGATGGACCACAGTTTTATCCATTCATCTACTGAAGGACGTCTTGGTTGCTTCCAAATTTTGGTAGTTATGGATAAAGCTGTAATAAACATCCTTTGCATAAGTTTTCAGCTCATTTGGGTAAATACCAAGGATCACAGTTTGAAGTGATGTGTGTTTAGTATTGTAAGAAACTGCCAAATTGTCTTCCATAGAGGCTGGACTGTTTTGCATTCCCCTCAGCAATTAATGACAGTTCTGGTTCCTCTTCATCCTCTCAGCATTTGGTGTCTGCATGGGTTTTTTAACTTATTAATTTATCCTGGACATCTTTTCAAATTAGCACATAGAGAACATTTGCATTTTCTCTTTTGAGCATCTGTATAGTAGCTTTTAGATGTGCTGTAGTTAATCAGTCCTCTATTGATGGCCACTTGGATTGTTTCTAATCTTTTACAAACAGTGCTGCAGTGACCTTAAGTTACTTTTCTGTGTTATGCTGGTGTATCTGTAAGATAAATTCCTAGAAATAGTATTTCTGAGTCAACGAGTTTAAATGCCTGTTAACAAATTGCCCTTCCTAGAGGTTATATCAGTTTGCACTCTTACCAGCAGTCTGTGAGAAGGCCTGTTTCACCAATAGAGTTGTCAGATGTTTGGGGTTTTGCAACTCTAATAGATGAGAAATATCTTGGTGGAAATTGAGAGTCTTTTCAGTTTTTCTTTTTGTGTTGGAGTTTTTACTCTGTTGCACAGCCTGGAGTGCAGTGGCACAATCACGGCTATTACAGCCTTGACATCCTGGGATCAGGTGATCCTTCTGCCTCAGCTTCTGAGTAGCTGGTACTATAGGTGTGTGCCACCATGCCCGGCTAATTTTTTATTTATTGTAGAGATGAGGTCTCTCCATGTTGCTCAGGCTGGTCTTAAACTTCTGGACTCAGACCCTCTGCCTCAGCCTCCCAGGCGTAAGCACCGTGCCTCGCCCTTTTCATAAGTTTAAGACCATTTTTTTGTGATCTGTATGTTTCTGTCTTGAGTCATTTTTCTGTTAGGTTTTTGAAGCTCTTGAAATATTAGGAAGATTAACTCTCTGAACTACAAGTTGCATATATTTTTTTCTCATTTTCTCACTTGATTTTATATGAGTTTGAACCCATTTCTGTCTAATTTCATGGACCATGCTCTTTATCACTAAAATCGTATTGCCTCAGATAATACATGCTGTACGTTCCTGAAAAGATGTAATGCATCTGTTGTTTTAAAACTGCCTTTTTTTTTTTAGTTGGAATCTCACTCTGTCATTCAGGCTGGAGTGCAGTGGCACGCTCATGGCCTCTGCAGCCTCAACCTGCTAGACTCAGGCATCCTTCCACGTCAGCCTTCCAAGTAGCTGGAACCATAGGCATGTGCCACCATGCCTGGCTAATTTTTAAAATTTATTGTTAAGACGAGATCTCACTAAGTTGCCCAGGCTGGTCTCGAGCCCCTGGACTCAGGCAAACCTCTCGCCTCTGCCACCCAAAAACCTGTCTTCTAATAACAATTTATTCTTTCAATAGACACGACATCAGCGAGGAGATACACATCCTCTAACTTTAGAAGAAATTTTGGATGAAACACAACATTTAGATATTGGACTCAAGCAGAAACAATGGCTAATGACTGAGGTAAGAAGAGGCTTAAAATACTGGTAAAAAAGACAAAACATGAGGTAATTATCAAGAGGTACTTGCTATAACTAGAATGTTTTTAATATGCTGGAGTCTGATAATGCTTTTTATTTTTTCATAAATGACTTAGGGTCTTTGTTTTCGTTTTTGTTTTTGTTTTTGAGTTGGAATCTCACTCTGTCACCCAGGCTGTAGTGTAGTGGCATGCTCATAGCCACTGCAGCTTCTACCCGCTGGGCTCAGTTGATCCTTCTGCCTCAGCCTTCCAAGTAACTGGAACCACAGGCATGCACCACCGCACCCAGCTAGTATTTTTTATTTATGGTAGGGATACGTCTTGCCAAGTTGCTCAGGCTGGTCTTGAAGCCTGGGTCTCAGGCCTCCCAAAGTACCTCTGCCTCCCAAAGTGCTGGGATTATAGGCATGAGCCATCACATAACACCTGGCTGTTTTTGTTTTTTAAACATACATATTTATAAGATTGTCTGATTTGTTGGTTTTCATATAATTTTATATATCTGTTTTTATTATTATTATTATTATTAATTTTTTTTTTTTTAACAGAGATGAGGTCTTGCCATTTTGCCCAGGCTGGTCTCAAACTCTTGGGTTCAAGCAGTCCTCCTGCCTCTGCCTCCTAAGGTGCTGGGTTTACAGGCATGAGCCACTGTTCCCAGACTCTTTATTTATTTTAAAGTTAGGCTGGGTACAGTGGCTCATGCCTGTAATCCCAGCATTTTGGGAGACTGAGGCAAGAGGATTGACTGTGCCCAGGGATTTGAGACCAGCCTGGGTAATTTGACAAAGCCTTGTCTCTACAGTAAATTCAAAGATTAGCTGATCTTGATGGTGTGCACCTGTGTTTCTAGCTACTTGGAAGTCTGAGGTGGAAGGGTTGCTTGAGCCCAGCAGGTCAAGGCTGCGGTGGCCGTGAATGTGCCACTGCACTCCAGCCTGGGTGACAGACACCACCAACTCAAAAAAAAAAAAAAAAAATGCTTAAGACTTCAACATAAAAGTTATTAAAGAGATCAATGTACCAATCCCACTTACATTTTTACAGAATTTAATTGATGTTTATTTTGAATTACCATTTGTAATTTATATGTAAGTTGTATTATTTTAGGAAATTTAAAGCATGACATGTACTATAGGGATAGTAAGATATTTTGTTGCACTATTATGGCTTGAAATGTAAAAATAATCATGAACGTTGTATATCATTTGAGGAAACCCTACCACAGTCATGACCATGCTACTTTGGAAATGTATACATTTTAAAAATTCAAATATGGCCAGGCTCGGTGGCTCAGCCTATAATCCCAGCACTTTGGGAGGCTGAGGTGAGTGAATTTATGGGTTTGAGACCAATCCGGGCAACTTGGTAAGACCTTGTCTCTACAATAAATCAAATATTAACTGGGTATGGCAGCGCGCGCCTGTAGTTTCGGCTACTTGGAAGGCTGAGACAAAGGATTGCCGGAGTCCAGCAGATTGACGCTGGGGTGACCGTGAGCGTGCCACTGCACTCCAGCCTGGGCAACAGAGTAAGACTCCAACTCAAAAAAAAAAAAAATTCAGATATTTGCCTCTTTTGAGTTTAAATGTGAAATGAAGACTAAGAAGCCTGCTTTCTAGGATAAGTGGTAGATTCTAACAACCAAATATAAAATTGATAAAATATAATTAAATTAATTTTTTTACCAAGCAAAATCTAGGTCTTGATTTTTGTAATATAAAATAAACTAGATAATCAGTATCACTGTAGCTCATTATATTAATGATAGACAAACAATGGTAATCCACATTTAAGTTTGCTGATAAATCTTGGAATTTTATAGACTATCAACATTAGTTAAAGATTATTTTTATTATAACCCATTCTATTCACCTTCCTTTGTTCTTTCTTTCTTTTTTTTTTGAGTCAGAGTCTTTTTTTTTTGAGTTGGAGTCTCACTCTGTCACCCAGACTGGAGTGCAGTGGCCACTCCCGGCCACCGCAGCCTTGACCTGCTGGGCTCCGGTGATCCTTCCGCCTCAGCCTTCCAAGTAGCTGGAACTACAGGCACGTGCTACCACGCCTGGCTAATTTTTTATTTATTGTAGAGATGAGGTCTCGCAAAGTTGCCCAGGCGGGTCTTGAACCCGCAGGCTCAGGCAATCCACTCACCTCAGCCTCCGAAAGCACTGGGATTACAGGCTGAGCCACCGAGCTTGGCAGAGTCAGAGTCTTACTCAGTCGCCCAGGCTGGAGTGCAATGGCATGCTTATGGCCACTGCATCCTTGAACTGCTGGGCTCAGGCTATTCTTCCACCTCAGGCTTCCAAGTAGCTGGGACCACCACATCCAGCTAATTTTTTTATTTATTGTAGACATGAGATCTCGCCATGTTGCCCAGGCTGGTCTCGAACCCGTGAGCTCAGGCAATCCTCTCACCTCGACCTCCCAAAGTGCTGGGATTATAGGCATGAGCCATGGTGCCCAGCCCCTTTGTTCTTTCTGTGTTTTTTCTCTTTCTTTCAGGTCATGCTGGCAGCTGCAGAAGAAAATAAATAGGTTTGCTTTTTCTTGGAGAGCTTTCCTTCTGATATTAGTTATACAACAGAACTGACTAGGAACATAATTATATTAAGTAATTCCTGCATTCCTACTCAGTTTCATTCTCAGGATGACATTAAAATTCTGTATGCATTAGTTGGCCCTTCTTAGTTCCTTCTGCAGCTGCAAGTGCCAGCTGATACTGACTATTGATTTGTTTGTGACGATAATGTTGCCCAGGTTATAGTGCCAGTATACAATAAACTATACTTTGGAGGATTAGATGGGCATTAGATGGGCAATACCCAGTTGTCTATTAGTATTAATAGGCATTTTACTGGTTCCTACTTATTTTGTCTTCCAAAAGAATATGGGTTCACCTTTCTTCAAAGCAGTTATGATAAAATGGTTTACTTTTTTCAAAGAATTTATATAAATAATATGCAGTTTTTTTAATTAAAAATAAGCATCATGATCTTTATCTACTGTTCGGGGATCCTGCGTGTCCAGTATTTGAAATCTGTTAGTTCATATTCATAAGATGCTTTTGATTTGCCACTATATTGGATAGTATTATATTTTTAAATAATTAATAGAACTAAAAATATATATATGAAGTTTCTTTTTGTTAATGTATCCAAATTGTGTTGCTGTTACAGGCATTAGTCAACAATCCCAAAATTGAAGTAGTAGATGGGAAATATGCCTTTAAGCCCAAGTACAATGTGAAAGATAAGAAATCCCTGCTCAGACTCTTAGATCAGCATGACCAGCGAGGATTAGGAGGAATTCTTTTAGAAGACATAGAAGAAGGACTGCCCAATTCCCAGAAAGCTGTCAAGGTAACCTCTCTTTTCTATGTCTTGATGTCTTGATTAGTAATGTCTTCTTGGTTTTAAAAATAGCAAAAATTTTAAAATTATTTTTAACCTATTCATCATATACACATAGGGTTATAGTGAGCCACTTAAAGATTTGAAATTTGTCTTGTGCTACAAAGCAGAAAAGGGGGTAGCCATCTTTGTTTAACTTTGTCAATTCCCAGTTGTTGTTGCATGACTGATTGTCCAGAATATTTCTGGAAAGTTTTCCTTAAAGGCGTTAGTGTTTTTCTTATAAAAGTAGAGTTTGTAAACAAGAGTTGCTTCCTCTTTTTTTTTTTTTTTTTTGAGGAGTCTCACTCTGTTGCTTAGGCTGGAGTGCAGTGGCACACTCATGTCCACCACAGCCTCAACCTGCTAGACTCAGGTGATCCTTCTGCCTCAACCTTCCAAGTAGCTGGAACTGCAAGCACACACCACTACGCCTGGCTAATGTTTTTGATTTATTGTAGAGATGAGGTTTTGCCAAGTTGCCCAGACTGGTCTCGAACCCCTGGACTCAGGCAATCCTCTTGCCTCTGCCTCCCAGAGTGCTGGGATTATAGGCACAAGCCACCGCACCCAGCTAAGAGCTACTTCTTACAGTACTAGTAAATGCTGCTTACCTGAGGAATTAGAGGTATTACAACACAAAAGCAGCCGGGAGAGGTGGCTCACGCCTGTAATCTCAGCACTTTCGAAGGCCGAGGTGAGAGGATTGCCTGAGCGCAGGAATTTGAGACCAGCCTGAGCAACTTGGCGAGACCTCGCCTCTACAATAAATAAAAAATTAGTTGGGTGTGGTGGTGTATGCCTGTAGTTCCAGCTACTTGGAAGGCTGAGGTGGAAGAATTGCCTGAGACCAGCTGGTTGAGGCTGTGGTGGCCGTGAGTGTGCCATTGCACTCCAACCTGGGGAACAGAGTGAGACTCTGACTCAAAAAAAAAGAAATAACCTTGCTGTTTTGAAGTCCTAAAAGGGCTATTGATAAAAATCTTCTGATACAGATTATATTTCCAGTTTAAATTTGAAACTCACAGGGAAAGACTGCTTGTTTTTATCCTCCACAGTTGCTAGTGATTGATGGTAACTTATAAGCAGGTTCATCTTTTTATTTTTTTTTGCTACCTGTGGAGTACAACTTGCCTCTTTCTCTCCTCTGCTTCTTGATAATTGAATAGTACACATGCTAGACCTTTTGGTATAGTACCACAAGTCCCTGAAGCATTGTTTATTTTTCAATTTTTTTTTTTATTAATCTGTCAAGTTCACTGACTTTTCTTCTTCACCTCCAAATTGTTGTTAAGCCCAGTTGGTGAATTTTTTAATTTTAGAGATTATACTTTACAGTTCTAGGCTTTCCTTTATATTTTTTCTTCTGGTTCCTCTGTTGAGATTTTTTTTTTTAATCCATTACAAGTAGATTTTCTCTTACACTCTTGAGTAGGATTTCTTTCTCTTTTTTTTTTTTTTTGGTTATTTTTTAAATTTTGAAATGTTTTTTATTTCAATAGTTTTGTGGGGTACAAATAGTTTTGGTCTGGGCTTTAAGTGTACCCACCACCCTCACCTATTCGCATTGTACCTGACAGGTGATTTTTTTTTTTTGTTCCTCCACCCCTTTTCCTCACTCTGAGTCTCCATTCTCTATGTCTTTGCATATCCTTAGTTTAGCTCCCACTTACAAGTGAGAACATGCGATATTTGGTTTTCTGTTCCTGAGTTCACTTAGGATGATTGCCAATTCCATTCAAGTGGCTGCAAAAGATATTATTTCATTATTTTTTGATAGTTGAATGGTATTCCGTGGTGTATATATACCACATTTTCATTATTCACTGATCAGTTGATGAACATTTAGGTTGATTCCATGTCTTTGCGATTGTGAATTGTGCTGTGAACATGCAGGTGCAGGTGTCTTTTTCATATAATGAACTCTGTTGCTTTGAATAGATGCCTAGTAGTGGGATTGCTGGATCAAATGGTAGATTTACTTTTAGTTGCTTCAGAAATCTCTATACTGCTTTTCATAGAGGTTATTCTAATTTACATTCCCACCAACAGTTTTTAAAGCATTCCTATAATCCCAGCACTTTGGAGGGCAGAGGCAAGAGAATTGCCTGAGCCCAGGGGTTCAATACCAGTCTGGGCAACTTGGTGAGACCTCGACTCTACAATAAATAAAAAAATTAACTAGGCATCATGGCGCACACCTGTGGTTCTAGCTACTTGGAAGGCTGATATGGAAGGATTCCTGAACTCAGCAGGTTGAGGCTGCGGTGGTTGTGAGCATGCCACTGTACTCCAGCCTGGGCAACAGTGACACTCTGACTCAAGATAAAAATAAAAATAATACATTCCCTTTTCTCTGCATCTGTGCCAGTTTTTTTTATATTTTAATAATGGCCATTTTGATTGGTGTAAGGTGGTATCTCATTGTGGTTTTAATTTGCCTTTCTGTGATGATGTTTGATATTGATCTTTTTTTTTTTTTTAATGTTTGTTAGCCATTTGTGTATCTTCTTTTGTTCATGTTATTTGCTTACTTTGTAGATTCTGGGTATTAGTCCCTTATCAGTTGTATAGTTTGCGAATATCTTCTCCCATTCTGTAGGTTGCCTATTTGCTCTGTTGATTATTTCTTTTTTTTTTTTTTTTTGAGTTGGAGTCTCACTCTGTCGCCCAGACTGAGTGGTAGGCATGTGCTACCACGCCTGGCTGACTTTTTTTGATTTATTGTAGAGATGAGGTCTCGCTGCCCAGGCGGGTCTCGAACCCGCGGGCTCAGGCAGTCCACTCACCTCAGCCTCCCAAAGGCACGGGATTACAGGCTGAGCCACCGAGCCCGGCTGATCTATTAATTTTAAGCAGATATATTGAACTTATTACTTTTTGGGGTTCTTTTTTGAAAATAAAAAAGCTTAATTGTGTTAAAATGTTAAAGTTTAACATATTAATTATTTTAAAGTGTACAATTTAGTAGTGTCAAGTGTATTCACATTGTGGTGCAAAAGATCTCCAGAACTTGTATATTTTGCAACACTGGAACATTATACCCATTAGACGACAACTGTTTTTTCTCCCTCTCCACAGTTTGGCAACTACCATTCTACTTGAGTTTGACTATTTTAGATATCTCATATAAGTGGAATCATCCAATGTTTGTCTTTTTGTGACTGGCTTATTTTACTTAGCATAATGTCCTCAAGGTTCATCCATGTTGGACATGTAACAGGATTTCCTTCCTTTTTAAAGGTGAATAATATTCTATTGTATGTGTATACCACATTTTTTATTCATTTATTCGTTGATGGACATCTGTGTTGCTTTCACTTCTTGGCTATTATGATTAATGCTACTGTGTACATGAGTGTGCAGATAATTCTCTAAGACTCCATTTCAGTTCTTTTGAATATATATTCAGAAGTAGGATTGCTAGATTATATGGTAGTTTTATTTTAATTTTTTGAGGAACTGTCAAACTGTTCTTCATAGTGGCTGTACCATTTCATAATCCCGTCAGCAGTGCACAAGAGTTCCAATTTCGCCATGTTTGTTAACATATGTTATTTTCTGTTTTTATTTTTTATTTCTTTAGTTGGAGTCTCACTCCGTCACCCAGGCTGGAGTGCAGTGGCATGCTCATGGACGCGCTCACAGCCACTCCAACGTCGACCTGCTGGGTTCCCACTGTCCTTCCACCTCAGCCTTCCAAGTAGCCAAAACTACAGGCACGCACTACCACGCCTGGCTAATTTTTATTTTTATTTTCATTTTTTATTTATTGTAGAGATGAGATCCCGCCAATTTGCTCGAACGGGTCTCAAACCCGCGGGCTCAAGCAATCCACTCACCTCGGCCTCCCAAAGTGCTGGGATTACAGGCTAAGCCACTGAGCCTGGCCCTGTTTTAATTTTTAATACTAACTCCTAATGGATGTGAAGTGATAGGTCATGGTGGTTTTGATTTGGATTTCTTTGTGAGACCTAGTCTCACTCTGTCACCCAGGCTGGAGTGCAGTGGCATGCTCACAGCTACTGCAACCTCGACCTGCTGGGCTCAGGTGATTCTTCCGTCTCAGCCTTCCAAGTAGCTGGAACCACAGGCATGTGTCACCATGCCTGGCTAATTTTTTTATTTAAGTCCTTTGCCCATTTTTGAGTCGTGTTATCTGTTTTAATGTTGTTGAGTTGTGGCAGTTCTTTAATATTTTGGATATTAATTCCTTATTAGATCTATGACTTGCAAATATTTTCTCCCATTCTGTAGGCTGCCTTTTTACTCTAGATTTGTCCTTTGATGCACCAATGTTTTTGAGTTTGATGTTGTTCCATTTGTCTATTTTTGATTTTGTTGCCTGTGCCTTTTGTGCTGTGTCTGAATCATAACTGCCAAACCTAATGCCATATAAGCTTCTCTCTTCTAGGAGTTTTATAGTTTTGGGTCTTACATTTAGGTCTTTAATCTGTTTGGAATTAATTTTTGTGTATGGTATAAGATAAGGGCCCAATTTTATTCTTTTCATGTGGATATCCAGTTTTCCCACATAATTTGTTGAAGAGATTGTCCTTTCCCCATTGAGTGGTCATGGTACCCATGTTGGAGATCATTTGACCATGTATATGAAAGGTTTTTTGGGAGGCTGTCTGTTCTTTTCCATTAATTGGTGTGTCTTTATGCCAGTACTGCAGTGTTTTGATTAATGTAGCTTTGTGATGTGTTTTGAAATCAGGAAGTGTGAGATCGCTAACTTCGTTCTTTTTGAAGATTGTTTTGGCTGTTTGGAGTCTCTTGCGATTCCATGGATTTTTGGATGGATTTTTCCATTTCTGCAAAGAATATCATTGGGTAGCATTGAATCTATAGATTGCTTTTGGTAGCATTGATAGCTTAACAATAATAAGTTTTCTAATCCATGAGCACAGAAGTCTCTCCATAGATTTGTGTCTTCTATAATTTTTTTCAGCGATGTCTTCAAGATTCTTTTCATTTGCTTTACATATGTACAGGTTGAGTATTCCTTTTCTGAAATGCTTGAGACCAGAAATGTTTTGGATTTGGGGATATTTGCATATACTGAAATCTGAAATTTTAAAATCCAAAATGCTCCAATAAGTATTTCCTTTAGGTGTCATGTTGGTGCTCAGAAAGTTCTGGATTTTGGATATCAGGTTTTGGGATTTTGGTTGCTCAACCTATTGTCATCATCATTTACCTCCTGGATCCAGTGGACTCTATTATTAAAATATTTAAAACCATTTCATGAATAATTTGCATAAGTAAGAATAATGGGATGGTGAAAATAACATTATTAGACATTTAAATAAGAATTTAACATGGCAAACCTTTGTATCAGGTAAATTTTGACAAACATCAAAAAGAAGAAGGAATTCTATCACATGTCCTTTTAGTAAGGTGAGATGGTAAAGATTCTTATCACAAACCAGGCTCGGTGGCTCAGCCTGTAATCCCGCGCCTTTGGGAGGCTGAGGTGAGTGAATTGCCTGAGCCCGCGGGTTCGAGACCCGCCTGGGCAGCGAGACCTCATCTCTACAATAAATCAAAAAATCAGCCGGGTGTGGTAGCACATGCCTGTAATTCCGCCTACTCGGGAGGCTGAGGCGGAAGGATCACCGGAGCCCAGCAGGTCGAGGCTGCGGTGGCCGGGAGCGGCCACTGCGCTCCAGTCTGGGCGACAGAATGAGACTCCAACGCAAAAAAAAAAAAAGATTCTTATCACAAAATATTATGTGAAGTTCTTCCTGTTGAATAACTAACTGGGTGAGAGTACCTTATTTTGTCCTTAGAAGTATCTTGTTCACTCATTGTTTCTTAAGGTTGAGATTATTCATTTATCTGTGGTATTGTCATCTAAGGCCTCATGGTTTGAGACCTTATTTCTCTGCTGAGTGTTACCAGGTAGCACTTTGTGTTGCTGCTGTCCAGCTTTATGCATTCATCTTTGGATTCATCTAATAGTAGTGAAATGTCTGTCAATTTTTTTTGTCTTTTTCTCAAGAATAGAAAATACAGAATTCTGAATTGTCAAGTGTGCTTAATTAAAGCTAAATAACAGCAAAAAGATGGCTCCAGTCTTTTCTAGCTTCTTGAAAAGATATAATCCCATACTTTCGGCAATGTGATAAGAAAATTGGAGGTTGGCTATTTCACTGTTGCATCACACTCCTAGGTGATTTAATCATTCTTCCATTTTCTTTTTATTTTAGCTTCTTAAAAGCACAATTGCCAATAGATTGGTAATGATGAATAAGTAGCAGTATATTTCAAGACAGAGCAAATCGTAGCAATCTTTTATTCTGTTTTTAAAGAAACAAATTTTCTTTTTGTTCTTTGGAAGACCTCTAAGAATCAAAGTCTTGAAATGTCGGTTTTTAAAAACAGAACTCCTCAGAAACTAAAATTGGGTCTGGTAGGCCCTGATGGTGGTACACTGAGGTTTGTTTTTTTGTTTTTAGTAGGAGTCTCACTCTGTTGCCCAGACTGGAGTGCAGTGGCACGCTTTTGACTACCACAACCTCAACCTGCTGGGCTGAGGGGATCCTTCTGCCTCAGCCTTCCAAGTAGCTGGAACCGCAGGCATGTGCCATCATGCCGGGCTAATATTTTGATTTATTATAGAGATGAGGTCTTGCTAAGTTGCCCAAGCTGGCCTTGAACCCCTGGACTCAGACAGTCCTCTTGCGTCTACCTCCCAAAGTGCTGGGATGACAAGTGTCAGCCACCATGCCCTGCTTACACTGAGTTTTTAAAGAAATTGGACTCCTTTGTTGTGCCAAAAAATTTTTCCTGGTGAAGTAATTTGGAGTTAACTGAAAAAATCTTTCTCTATCTTTAAGGCTTTGGGGGACCAGATACTATTTGTAAGTCGTCCTGATAAGAAGAAAATACTTTTCTTCAATGATAAGAGCTGCCAGTTTTCTGTAGATGAAGGTGAGCCTTTCTGTATAGATACTTCTTTTAGATTGTAAGTATATTATAATTTTAAGGTGATAAAATATAATATTTATAATACACTTGTAATTTAAATCTCACAGTATTACTTCTTTTAGCATTATCATCTCTTAGAACAGAGCTGATAGCCCTTATATCTAACAAATTGTTTCTTAGAATGCAATCTGAAATATGAGATTTGAAAGATTTTAGGTTAATTGTATTTGCAATCACAGTATGATTGTTCATGATTTCTTACGTTTATTGCTTAACTTTACCAGATGAGTTTATTTCTTTATTATTTTAAAAACTTTGTATGTTGATATGAAAGCTTGAAGCAGGATGGGAAAAATAAACTCTGTTGGTGATTGGCATTCTTTTTACCTTATGAATGTTTCAAATTTCAAATTGGGTAGGGAAGGAGATAATTTTTTCTTTCTGGAAACTGTACAGTCGAATGATAAGCTGTATGTAGCGTCTGCTACTAAATGTGTGCTAAGTATAGTTTGGATTTTAGTTTTGAATGTTTGGTCAATATTTGTCATGTAAAATAGTAAACAAGGGTTTAGTGATGATAAGTTTCTCATTCAAATAGAAGTTCTCATTTTAATAAATATGGTTTTTCACTATAAATTTGTGTACTTTTGAAGTTTTATACAATATCAAGAAAATACTTCAACATCAATTTAATTATAAAATTTCAAAATAATACAAACAGTAAAATATTCTAACTTTATAGAAGTAAGTGGAGTAAAATAGTAATATTAAACTCCAAATAGACTGTTGCATTGGCCTGTTTTGTGTAGTCATATTGGCTCTTCTTTGTGCCATTAAAGAGATTATTTTGAATGAGTAATTTTGTATAACAAATGCATTTATAAGTCTTGTCCCCTCAGTAGCCAATTAATGATTTGGATTATTATGATTTTGTAATTTGTACAGTAACCTTAAGTTTTCCTTGTATATATTATTTGGCTATAGTTGCTCAGGCTGTGGTGCTAATAGGTAGGACTTTAGTTTGGCTGAAGTTACTTAAAAGCCCCATGATTTATTTAGGAAATAAAATGTGTTTTTGTGAAAATCCTGATTGAGTACCTCATATGTAGTTAGTTCTCAATAAATCTTTGTTAATAAAAATTTACAGAATATTCCATTTCTTCAATGTTGCTGTTTCTAATAAGTATTTTTATATAAGCAAGCAAATACATAGTGAACTTCTGTACATTGTAGGGAACAAAGATTTGGGTACTGCTTAGCAATTTTTATCTTGCTTTTAGTCTCCTCTACTTGGAATTTCACTTTTAAAAAATTTTTAATTTATTTTTTATTTTTTTAATCAATATTTTTTATTTTGATATTGTGGGGTACAGTTAAGGGTTAGGTATACAAATATGTTTCGTTCAGGCACCCTTGTTGATAAGGGGTGTATCCCTGTCCCCAGAATTTCACTTTTATGATAATTTTTATAATAGTCAAATTAGTTTTTTGCTTTTAAAAACATTTAAGATGCCGGGCTCAGTGGCTCAGCCTGTAATCTTGTGCCTTTGGGAGGCTGAGGTGAGTGGATTGCCTGAGCCCGCAGGTTCAAGACCCGCCTGCGCAGTGAGACCTCATCTCTACAATAAAATAAAAAAACCAGCCGGGCATGGTAGCGCATGTCTGTAATTCCAGCTACTCAGAAGGCTGAGGCGGAAGGATCGCTGGAGACCGGCAGGCGAGGCTGCAGTGGCTGGTAACGGCCACTGCACTCCAGTCTGGGCAACCGAGTGAGACTCCAACTCAAAAAAAACAAAAACAGAAACATTTAAGATGAACTAAAAAAAACCCGAAAAAACCTACAAACTAAAAAAACCCTCCAAGAGATAATTAATTCTTTGTTCTTAGACATAGTAAACCCATTTTGAAAAATGTTTGCAATACTTAAAAACAGAACCTTATTACAAGTATTGCAAGTTCATATAGTAAGATCTTATAATAAAAAGCAGATGTGTTTTTCCTTTCTCTAGTTGCAGTTTCTTTTGTGGCAGCTACTTAACTAGTTTTATTTTGGATTCTTTAGGTTTATTTTTTCCATATTGCTAAATAATATGCTATTGTTTCTTGATTTGTTTCAACTTTAAAGATTGAATTATCCTAGTCATTTATATTTCCAACACCTCTCTCTTCTACCAATTTAGTTATACCACTGGTTGTAGTTTCTCCGTCATTTACCTTGATACCTTCAAGTAACAGCATATTTAAATGTTCTCAGAGGAAACTTTAGTATTAAGTCTGCTCTGCAGATGGCAGCATAGTGTAGCATATCTGTTCTGTAAGTAGATGTTTAAATTGAGGCAAGTGGTGGATCAGAAAGAGATTGTAGTAGATTTGTAATGGTTTATAGAGGCCCAAGTGTTTTTGTAATTCTCACACTGAGGTGTTTTTCTTTCCTTTTGTGCTCTTTCTGTGGATACCATCGTTTTAACTTTGTTCAATTTTTTTCTGTTTTTGCATCTTTTATCTGTATTTCTATTCTGTAATATTACATTCATTTTCTTTTTCTTCTCTTTTCTTTTCTTTCTTTTTTTGAGTTGGGGGTCTCACTATGTCGTTCAGACTGGAGTGTAGTGGCACAATCACAGCTCACTATATATAGCCTCGACCTTCTGGGCTTTAGGCAATCCTCCCATCTCAGTCTTTCAAGTAGCTGGGACTTCAGGGGCGCACCACCATGCCTGGCTAATTTTTTAAAAATTTTTTTGTGGAGACGAGATCTTGCTATGTTGCTCAGGCTATTCTCGAACTCCTGGGCTCAAGCAGTCCTCCTGACTTGGCCTCCCAAAGTGCTGGAATTATAGGCGTGATCCACTGTGCCCAGCCTCTGGATTCTTTATACTAATGCATTTAGGACTTCTGCCTCAGTGTGGTCAGTTTTCTTTTTTGTGTGCTTTGTCAGGTTTTGTTATGGGTATTGCACTGGATTAGCAGAAAAGTAGAATTTCTTGCTTTCCCCTCCTTTCTTATGAGGATATTAGATTCTTTGAAGCTTTGAAAGCAGACACCCATGATTATATTAGGCTTGTTGCTTTTTTGGCAACATTCTTAATGTCTTCCTGGTTATATCCTTCTTTAAGCTTTCTCTCTTGTGAATCAATTTTGATAATTTGTCTTTTCTTACGAAAGCATCCATTTAAAAATTTCAAATTTAATGTCATATGGTTTTGTAGAGTGTGGCCCTAGAACTTGTTTAATTTTCTGTTATTTTCTCTTTTTATTGTTAATTTTTGATATTTGGACTTTCCTTATTTCTTTGTTAACTGCAGGTTTATTTTACTTTTTGTATAACCTACTGATGCACATACCTTTTAAAGAAATCAGCGTAGGCCGGGCGTGGTAGCTCAGCCTGTAATCTCAGCTCTTTGGGAGGCTGAGGCAAGAGGATTGCCTGAGCCCCACAGGTTTGAGACCAGCCCGGGCAACTTGGTGAGGCCATGTCTCTACAATAAATCACAAAAACTAGCCAGACATGGTGGCATGCGTCTGTAGTTCCAGCTACTTGGAAGGCTGAGGCGGAAGGATTGCCTAAGTCCAGCAGGTGGAGGCTGCGGTGGCCGTGAGTGTGCCGCTGCACTCCAGCCTGGGCAACAAGAGTGAGACTCCAATTCCAAAAAAAAAAGAAGCCACAGCATGATACCCTAAGTGTAACATGAAAGATAAATAAAAATTGATTTATATTTTAATTAAGTAATTTTGAGTCAGAGCTCACTCTGTCGTTCAGACTGGAGTGCAGTGGCACACTCACGGCCACCACGGTTTCGACCTTCTAGGCTCACCGATCCTTCTGCCTCAGCCTTCCAAGTGATTGGAACCACAGGTGTGCGCCACCACCCTTGGCTAATTTTTTTTTTTTTTTTGAGTCATAGTCTCACTGTGTTGTCCAGGTTGGAGGGCAGTGGCATGCTCATGGCTACCACAGCCTCAACCTGATGGACTTCCGCCTCAGCCTTTCAAGTAGCTTGAACTATAGGCACGTGCCACCACACCCGGCTAATTTTTGTTGATTTATTGTAGAGATGAGGTCTTGCCAAGTTGCCCAGGCTGGTCTTGAACCTGTGGGCTCATGCAATCCTCTCACCTCAGCCTTCCAAAATGCTGGGATTATAGGTGTGAGCCACGGTGCGTGGCCTTAATTTTTGTCTGTTTTATTTTAGAGACAAGGTCTTGCCATGTTGCTAGGCTGGTCTCAAACCCATGGGCTCAGACAATTTTCTCACCTCTGTGTTGGAATTACAGGCTGAGTCACCATGCCTGGCTGACTTATTTTCTTTTTTTAATTTTAATTTTAATTTTTTTGTGTTGGAGTCTCACTCTGTCACCCAGACTGGAGTGTGGTAGCATACTCCTGACCACCGCAGCCTCGATCTGCTGGGCTCTGGCGATCCTTCTGCCTCAGCCTTCCAAGTAGCCGGAACTACAAGTGCACGCTATCACACCCAGCTAATTTTTGATTTATTATAGAGAGGAGGTCTCGCCAAGTTGCCTGGGTGGGTCTTGAACCTGTGGGCTCAGGCAGTCCACTCGCCTTGGCCTCTCAAAGTGCTGGGATTATAGGCTGAGCCACCGAGCCTGACTATATATTAATAATGTATTTGAAGGCCGGGCGCGGTGGCTCAGCCTGTAATCCCAGCACTTTGGGAGGCCAAGGCGAGAGGATTGCCTGAGCCCAGGGGTTTGAGACCATCCTGGGCAACATTGTGAGACTTTGTCTCTACTCTAAATCACAAAAACTAGCTGGGCGTGGTAGTGTGCATCTGTAGTTCCAGCTACTTAGAAGGCTGAGGTGGAAGGATTGCTGGAACCCAACAGGTCAAGGCTGCAGTTGGCTGGTGAATGTGTCACTGCACTCCAGTCTGGGTGACAGAGTGAGACTGGATGACAGAGTGAGAATCTCGGTGACAGAGTCAGCCTGGGTGACAGTGGGAATCCAACTAAAAAAAACTGTATTTCACTATTTTAAAATG